ATAGTTATCGTTGTTTTTTCAAGGATCTTCTCTTGTATAAAATAACCATTTTTTAAGCCGGCGAAAAAAGCTCATAGAAAGAAAAACTGTTTGTCGATCAACAAACCAGAAAAACATGGGCGACATCTTGTTGGACTCRTTTTCCTACGAAGCAACGGGTCTTCCACTCCAAGCTTTTGAAATATTAGGCCAGCTCTTCGAAGAACAGAAACTCTGCGACGTTGTGCTTCAAGTTGGAGATAGAAAGATYAAGTGCCATCGAGTGATCTTAGCATCTTGTAGTCCTTATTTCCGAGGSATGTTTACAAACGCAATGCTGGAAGCCTCTCAAGACATCATCTCAATCCAAGGACTTTCCGAAACAGCTGTTGCGGAGTTAATAAGATTTATTTATACGAGGAAAATCACGATAAACGTTGATAATATCGAGGCTTTACTGAATGCTTCTGCGGTTCTTCAACTGGATCTTGTTGTTCAAGCATGTTGTGARTTTATGAAGAAGCATCTTCATCCATCAAATTGTTTGGAAATGAGAGCATTTGCTGAGCTACACGGATGTACAGATTTTCTTCATGTAGCTGATGCTTTTTCAAGGCGTTGCTTTGCRTCTTTAGTAAATACAGATATGTTTTTGAAACTCTCTGAGAAACATTTGCTTCAAATAATATCAGGCATCGACCTCTATGTGAAGCGAGAGGAACATGTCTTTGAAGCTATATTGAAGTGGGTTTACTTCAACTCTGAAAAAAGAACCCAGTTTCTTCCCGAATTGCTTTCACAAATCCGTCTTCCTTTGTTACCAACTAAATATCTATTGACGAATGTAGAATGCAATGAATTGATACGTCAAAATCTGAATTGCAGAAACTATATCGATGAAGCCAAGAATTACAAACTAAGCCCTGCTAATGTTAGTTGTTTTAGAACTCAACCCAGAAAGATTACAGCTGGCGCACTGTTTTCTGTAGGAGGGAGAGGAAAAACTGGTGAGCCATTCCAGTGTATCGAATGCTACAACTGGTTTGAYGACTCGTGGTTCCCAACAGCAAGACTTTCAACRCCAAGAAGACATGTTGCTGTTGCAGCTTTGAATGGACTTGTTTATGCCATAGGAGGACATGATGGTGTRCAGCACTTAAATTCAGTAGAATGTTTTGATCCTGTGAATAACAGATGGTGTGATGTTGCAGCTATGACGACATATCGAMGAGGGATGTCAGCAGGGGTGTTGGGAGGAGTTATTTATGTAGCAGGGGGTCTGGATGAATCAACTTGCTTTGAAACTGTTGAAAGGTAGAGTAGTAGAAGGGGTACTTATGAATTACATTGATAACAATGGAGAAACAAAGATTGTGAGTGTGTTTCTTCCATGGTTTTCAGTAACAGCTTGAGTAAGCAGCAAAATACAATGAATTAGACGAGGAGCAGCCATTGAATCTCATATTTTTCCTAAATTTTGGGGAACTTTGATCAAAATAGCTGGCAATTCTGTGTAAAATTCCTGGCGAGATTCACCGGCTGCCAGCTTCTATTGAAAATCCTGGTTTCTTCAAGCATACAATCTGTTTTTTCTTATGAAAAAACACAAGCTACAGTAAAGGGCTTGAGCCTTTGACCTCCATGGTGACTGGTCAGGTGCTCTGGGAAACTTGTGGTGAATTAAATGAGCTTGACATTTGTTTTCATAGTTTTTAAATAAACAGCATCTTCTGAGGAGCTTCAAAAATGGTCATCTCTTAGTTGTGGAAATTTAAGCCATTTGAAGGTCCAACCATTTTGCAGATGTGACATATTTATGAAAACATCACATCTACATGACCCTGTTGGTCTAGCCAGGGATTGAATATGCATTCTTACAACAGACCAACTCTCTACCATACAAGCCAACCATGTGGTACCTGTAGTTAATCAATAGAGTTTGACCCGAAATGTTCATCTTATTTTAGGTATGATCCTGAGGCCAATGAGTGGAGCTTAGTGTGCCCCATGTTGCAAAGACGTGGTGGTGTAGGAATAGCTGGCCTCGACGGGTACCTGTATGCTGTGGGTGGCAATGATGGCTCAGTATCTCTACAGTCAGTAGAGAGGTATAACCCACATACCAACAAGTGGACAAAAGTAGCTCCTATGAACAGACGCAGAGCAGGTAAGGTCTCTGAAGGATAGAGGSTTTGTTTTGAATAGTCAATATTTCTTTCCTCCACCCTCATCATCCTTTCTCTAAACTTTGTTTTTTCACTTTGGCTATATGCAGAATGAATCAATCAATAACAATAATTTAAAGAGCCACTGTATTTTATAGTCAAATCCAACTAATTGATATCAGGATTTCCTGAGATCCTCAGAGGCAGAGGAAGATGCAGAATACTTCAAAGCTGGGGGGGGGGGGGGGGGGGTGTGTGGCTTCTTTGATGAAATAGCATAATAGACACAATGACTTGTGTAGGATAGACAAAGGACAAAAGGTGGGGCCCTTTCCTAAATTTCTCTAGATATAAGGATTCAACGGTTGTACCTTGTAATGRTTGCCCAAAATTAATCTAAGATGYTTTACAAAATKTAATGTTTTATAAAGCTTTCCTACRGCTTACGAGTTTCATTTATGTTATCGCTTTGAYATTTTCCTTTTAAGGAAAAGTGGTGAACAGACTTCAACAMTGCGCRWCTGARYCATGTATTATGGGTGACCAAACTAATGACTCCTGGCGAGCTTAGTTGGGGCGATAGCTGGATTGCAGATTCAAACTTTAAATGCAGCATTTCTATGTTTATTAGTGGTTTATTGTTATTTATAATACCCTAACTTRATTGTTTCAGGTGTAGGTGTAGCTGTCGTTGGTCAATACCTCTATGCCATTGGTGGCTTTGATGACTCTTCCCCACTTAATTCAGTTGAGCGATATGAYCCATCAACAAATCAGTGGACCTATGTAGCCTGTATGAGTACCTGTCGAGGAGGAGTAGGTGYGGGAGCCATGGGTGAACGTATCTGGGCTGTAGGAGGGCACAATGGTGCTCAATACCTTGGATCTATGGAATCCTATGACCCCATAAGAGATGTATGGGAGGGAAGTGCAGAGATGAGTACCCCTCGTGCTGGCTCAGGTGTTGCAGGTTGTCTTTGTGATGTAGAGATGCTKAAAGATTTGAACTGTCTTGAAAAGAGTGTTAAGACTGAATAGAGAGGCTAATCCTTCATGACAATCAAGTACCCTACAAATAGAACATTTTTTCAACTTGGTATTCACATAATTTAAGTAAGACTGCAAAATGCAGACAAAAACACAATTAAATAAAACATTTGGAATTCTGTAAAACAAAAATTCTTAAATTTCTTATCCGAACCTCAATTTTAAACTCAATTTTGCTAAATRATGTATTTATTGAAATGTCAGCTTACCAGTAGTTATTTTGCAATGTGCATTTTTAAATCTGTAAATCATTTTACAGATGTTTCGGACAAACTATGAATGAGATACATTAAGAATTAAGTTTGTATGGACATCAATCAAAGACAGACTCATTTAACTCAGCTTGTAATCCACCAGAACTAGACTATGCCTCGTGCARCTCTTATGCTTCCTTCATGCTAAGCAACCTCCTGCGTGCAATCTTATTTGAGTTGTATGCATACTCATTTATGTCCTAACTGTTAAATAAATGAAATGGGGAAACATCACATTATAAATAAAATGGGGAAACATTACACCAAAGTTWAAAAGGTTGTTAGAAATGGTTGTAAGAGTTTTTGGTAATAAAAAAAAGTTAAAAACTTAACTTGTATATATATAATAATTGGAAGATTTTAATAGATTTTAATAAAATAATTAGCATAAAATATGAGTATGTGTTATGTGGCTTTGACTTTCCATATAATATGTAATATTATAATGTTATYATTTCTTGTTTGTAGGCATTCCAGGTAACCCTCTGTTGCAGATTCTTCTGTAGAACTTCTTTGGTTGGATACGGAACAACCTGTTGTATTAAAAAAAATTAACAAAACATGTATRAATTAACATATTGTTTTTGAAAGCATTTCATCAAAACCATATTCACATATGTTACAAAAGATGTCTTGTCCCTACCCTCCCTCAGCTACCTTGGGACTTCCTAAGTCTTGTATGACAAAGGGGCAAAAAGAAAATTGCATATAGTAAAACTATACTTACATTATGTCTTATCCATGCTTTTGTGTGTTCCTTTGCATGTGCTATAAAAAACTTTTTCGAAATCATCACACACTCAGCTCCTCTGCTAACCTATATAAAAATAATCATTAATAATCTGTAATGTGATTGCCATCATTATACGGGTCGGTACAGGTTTGAACTGTTTTTTCATTTCCGAATGGGGCTCGAYTGTTACCCGAACCTTGTCCGAAAAGTCATATACTATTTTGCATCTAATTTACATATTATCGCGCGTATGGACATGCGATATCAAAACAGGCATCGAAAAATCTAAGACATACTAAGGGAAATGGCTTTTTCTTTCCGAAAATCAAATATTTTGAACTAAGTATGAGGTGGAGAAGTATCAAAGAAGCTGTCGTGAAGGAAAGTTTTTAACAGAATGGAACAAAGCTGTTACAAACCACAAGCTACCAGTCGATTTATCAGTACCAGAAAATGAAGGTAAGCTTACGACAAATTCTATGCAAAAACCAAAAAAGCAWCCCCTCTACTTAATAATGACCATTAGAGTTGATGGATAGAACTTTTCGGTCACGGTTTTGGTGGAAATAATACATTTTGTACAACAAATGGATTAGCAAACATTTTACCGCAATTTTCAATCTCTTCAGTACACAGGAAGCCCAAATCCCAGTTGTGACCATAATTAAACTCTACTAATGCTCTATTAATAAGTTTATAAACTTTAAACTTCAAGAAAGACTTACCAGGCTTACCGAAGCAGTTTCGCTGGTTTCTCCAGTATTGTCAAAATCTAGACTTGAAAGACCCTGAAAAACAGTAGTTTATTTCGGATAAGCAAGAGGATGACAAAAATTCAAATATTTCATTCCACCTAGCCTGSGTGCAGCTGAAGTAACTAACTGTTAAGTTTACTATATGAGGGAAAAGTCCAGCTGCACACAGGCTACGTTCCATCTATACTTCTGTAGAAGCTGAGCCACCATTTCGGACCTGAAGGCAATTAAAGCCGACCTTTGATAATAAATGGGAGGTATAAATGAATTAAACAGGAAAATTTTCCAGCTTGAAGGTAACAGGGGAGAGACTAACTGACCCCCAGACCACATTACTGATACCATGGTCGCAGTACTCACAAATATGCTTCTCGGATGTTGAATATCAATTCGAACAAATACTTGTTTCTTKGCTTTTTTGTGTCTTATGCCATCTATATCTGTAACAGGAAACTGAAAAAATGGTGGTAAGAATGGCTGCCTGAATACAGGTAATTACTGAAGAAATAGAAAACGCTTGTGCAGTTATAAAGCAGGGGTTGGCAGAACACAAGAGAAGTGTTAGGAGAAGCCTTACTCCGTAACGGCGGAGTGTTTCTTGACACTTCTCCGGTGATCTGCCGATCCCCAAGTGCTTTATAACTCCATACAGCACAGCAAGCAAGTTTTTTATTTCTTTTATAAAATACAAATTACACAAATGACGCAATTGAAAGTGTGCGCACGTGCTGTGTGCTCTCATAAAGAATGCGCTCCCAACCAATCAGTACGCAAGATTTAAAGCAATTATTTTATAAATGTTTTTAAAGCATACAGTCAATTCAAAAATTGTTGTCGTCGACCAGCTCAAGCCTACGCGACTGGACCGAAAGGAACTCTGGGTAGCAATCATTGAAGCCGAGTTGACTCCATAATTTTATCTGACTAGTTATGCCTGGTTTACAGCACGAACCTTCGTAGGCGAGCGGGAAGTGTCGAAGGAGACGTTTTTTTAATGC